TTCTCCCTGCTGCCTGTCACCACCGTGCCATCTTCTCCCATTAGCAGACCTATCATATCTTTGACTTTTTCTTGTTCCTTACATATTGGAAGAAACTTTGGTTATTTTTGGCATTTCTTGCATTTCTTAGTTCTTTCTCAGTGTTTTCCTGACTCTGTTGTTGCAGATTTGGGCTATGCACTGGAATTCTGCTCTAGTTATGTGCCCCTCTTAGTTGGTTCCAAATGGTATAGGAAACCTGAGTCTGCCAGAATCTGGAAAGGACTCTGTAAGGAGTTGCTTCCTATTAGTTTTGTTTGCCGTTGTAAGTGATTTAAAAGTCTATGGAGATTCTCAATCATCCAGGCCATGGTTGCCCCAAAGGTGCTTTTTTCCCCCCAAAAGGCAACGGGATTTTCTTGGTTTTTTTCTTTGAAAACGTTTTGCTTCTCATCCCAGAAATGAAGAAGCTTCTTGGATGTGAAGCGAAACTTTTTTAAAAAAGATCCAGTTGCCTTTTGGGGAAAAAGCATCTTTGGGACTTGCAAGGGATTGGACGTCTGAAGGGCTTCTGCTTGGAGAGATTGAGCTTTTAGTTGGATATTCTGAAGCATCTGGTTTTATTTGTGCAGCTTGCTAAACTTTGGGGAGAATGGGAGGAAGGGTATTTCCACAGCAAAGCCAACCCTTTCTCTTCTGGGGGACTAAGAACCCAGCTGATGTTGATGCGTAGAGAACCTAAATTCTGGTTAAATTCTGTTGTTAACATATCGCAGATTGTATAACCCTATCCAGTTAACCGGATGACAAAAGTTTGCTAAGAAGGGTGACAAAACTGGCCTCCTTCCCCTTTTCCACCATGTGCATTTAGGATCTGTATGTTTGAGCAAATGTCTCAGCTGAAGAGCTCGTGAAATACCCTTCCATTCTCAATACCTCGCATAGCCAAGAGGTAGAGAATATGGCTCTCTCTCCCCCCCCCCCCAAATTATTCTAGACCTGGCTTACTGAATGGGAAAGCCGGGGGGGGGGGGGGAGGCATTTTACAGGGATGATTTCCCCCCTGATTTAATCTTTTTGTGGTCATCTGGAGCACAGGTAGTCCTCGACTTACAAAAGTTCATTTAGTGACCGTTCGAAGTTAACAGTGGCACTGCAGAAATGTGACTTGTGGCCATTTCCCACAGTTACGACCTTTGCAGCATCTCTATGACCACAGGATCAAAATTCAGAGGCTCGGCAACTGGTTAGTTATTTATGACCGTTGCAGTGTCTCAAAGCCATGTGATTCCCCCCTTTTGTGACCTGGCTAGCATAGTCAGTGGGGGGGGGCAGATTCACTGAACGACTGTGTTACTGACTTAACGACTGCAGCAAAGGAAGGTGATAAAACGGGGCAAAATTCACCTAGCAGCTGTTGCTTAGCAACAGAGGTTTTGTGCTCCGTTGTGGTCGTAAGTTGAGGACCCACCTGTATCTTTTTGTTAGAGAAAGTTGGCTTGAGGGCAAGGGGAAGGCCTTTCTGAACAGACCCCCAGGGAATCTATGGGGCACTTCCATAACCCTCTCCAGCGGGGGGCCTAAATTCTAATAATTCAGTGCCCCCCCCCCCAAAACCTTTGGGGCACCAGGGATGCGTTCCGTAGGGAGAGGTTTTTCCACTGGCTGGAGGGGGCATGGTTTCTCCTGCTACATGCATCCTATGGATGGGGTTTCACTTGTTTTTGCGACCCGGTTTCTGGCATGCCGTGGCCCAATGCCAGTCCATGGACCAGGTGTTGTGGACCCCTGCTATAATTGACCTTTTGCTCAGCATCCAAAAGCTCCAAGTAAGCCCGGTGTCCTCTAGTGCAGGGGCTGGCTCCAACCTTGGCCACTTTTTTAACACTTGTGGACTTCAACTTCCAGAATTCCTCATCCACAAGTCTTAAAGCGGCCAAGGTTGGAGGCCCCTGCTCTCTAGGGAAGGGCCCAGATCTATCCGTGTGAAGTTGCCTCCAAAAGGAAGAGCTGCAACTTTTATAAGGATCCCAAACTGTCAAAACGTATCAGGATTCCAGCTGTGACCCTGCTTCCCTCCCTTCCCCCTGGGTGTGCCATAAATCAGCTTTTCCAATTAAGCACCTACACAGGCTAGGTGTCATCCATCACATTCTCCAATTCAAGCTTTTTCCTGGGCAAAAGCTTCAGTAGCTTAGCTACAATCCTTTTAAACAGGGGTCCCCAACCACTGGGCCCTGGATCATTTTGTACCAGGCCGCTTATTTTGCTTGGGCGCCGCCATCTTGTTTCGACGGCGCTTGAGAAAGTGCTTCCGGGTGAGCTTGTCGGTTGTCGGTTGGAAAGCGGCGTTTGGGTGCTGAAGGAATCCTCGCGCCTTAGTTTCGTCGAAGAGGGTGGGGGGCGGCTTCGAACGAAGAGCCGTCCCGATGGCGGTGGAGTCTCGCGTTACTCAGGAGGAGATTAAGAAAGAGCCCGAAAAGCCCATCGACCGCGAGAAGGTACAAAGGAGGAGTTGAAGGTGGCGGGGAGAAGCGGGGGACGGCTGGCTGGCCGGTCGCTCGGCTCGCCTTGCCTTGGTCGTGCGTGCTGATGCCGGTACCGGTCCGTGGATCATTTTGAACATTTTGTACCGGGCCGTGGTACAAAAAAGGTTGGGGGCCACTGCTTTTAAAGATAAAGTTGGAATGTGCTTCTAAGTTCATTTTGCTGTATGCTTCTCCAGTCCTTTCTTTCCTCCCCCACCCCACTTCCTTATGCCAACTTGGAAACAAGTGTAGGGGGTGTTTTACAAGTTGACAAAAATGATTCACTGCTGACGTGGTCCAGAGCGGTTTGTGGATTCACCTTAACATAGACCTCGAGGGAAAACGGGCACTTTCCATTCTTTTTTTTCCTTTTTAGCCCCTTTTCAGCGCAGCCCTCCGGCTTTGTGGATAACCCTGGCTCCTCCCCGAGCGTCTAATTCTTTCCTTCCTTTTTCTCCCCCCCCCTTGCAGGTCTCAGTGGCGCCATGGCCAGCATCAGCGTCCGCTCGAGCACCCCGGGCTCCCCCACCCACGTGAGCAGCGGCTCCAACGGCAGCCGAAGGAGAAACGGACTCCATGACGTTGACTTGAACACTTTCATATCTGAAGAAATGGCACTCCACTTGGACAATGGTGGAACTAGAAAGCGTACCTCAGCCCAGTGCGGTGATGGCATTACGGACTCCCCGACCCATAAACGCAACCGTATGATCTAAGTGGCAACAGTTGTTTTTGCCCTCCCCCCCCCCCCCCCCCCCCCCCCCCCCGACCCTTTGCTCAAAAGCCCACTGGTGCTCCTCCGCCCACTGGGAAAACAAATTTGAGGCTCTCTCTTCACAAGACACACACACACACACACACACATACAGAGAAAAAAAAATGCCAAAAAGAAAGAATATACCCCGGAGGTTTAGACTCCTTCTCCAACCTCTCTGGCTTCCCTCAAAAGTAGATTCTTTAGCAAGAGGATTTCCAACGTTGTGTCGTAGCTAGCAAGCTCATCGCAGGTTAGATCACACATCCATTCCAAGGCTAAAAGTGACCTTATGTGTACTCTTAAAGGGAAGAAAAGAAATATCAGACATTTTATTTGGTTATAGATTGCTTTTTTGTCCTTTATTTCTTGCCGTGTTTCAATATTTGCTTCAAGAGTATTGCCACTTCAGACAACCGTTTCAACACCATGACTTGGCAAGTAAGACTCACATGCTTCCTTTAGAGAGACAAGGAATGAAAATGTGTGTGTGTGTGTGTGTGTGTACACACACACACACACACACACACACACACTCAAATATGTTACTATTTTCTTTTTAAAGCCTACTAGACACATAATTTTCTATTTAAATAAGTGCGCACATTATAAGCATTGGCTTGTGTCCATTTTTTAAAAAAACATTACAAAGCAGTTGACGGCTGGGAGTGATGTAAACAGGTTCCCCTGGTGGTGGTGATGCGGCAGAGACTTAAGTCATTACAAAAAGGCTGTTTGTTGGGTGTGTGTGTGTGTGAGAGAGAGAGAGGGAGTGTGTGAAAGCAGCTGCCCCTAGGCCCTCCTCTTCCTCCTGCCCCAGGAATTTCTACCTGGAAGGTTTTGAATGGGTTGCTTTTAAGTCACCCAGCAGAGGAATGTGTTTTGTCCCTGAGAGGACGTGTGGTTTTTGGTAATACAGGTACGTATTATACCCTTCCTCAGTGTGCAGGGAGAAAACTGGGTGGGTAGGAATTTTTTTTTTCTTTAAGGGGGTTTGTCCTTTGTGTCTTCCCATCATGATGTTGGGGGCGGGGTGGGAAGGTGAGGTTTGAGCTGCTTTTAAAAAGCAGGAACCACCTGTGTCTCAGACACAGTTTTCTTTGGCATTTGGGCAAGATGGAGAACCTCTTGTCCCCTGAAAGGAAGGTCCATTTTGGGTGGCCTCAGGCCTGCGAAACCCCCAGCGTTGGGGTTCAGCTGGGCAAGCCTTCCATCGCCAGCAGAAGGCCATGTTGGTATAGCAAAAGGGAGCCACCATTTTCGAGCCAGATATGTGACACACCTACCCACTGAGCTACCTTGAGAAAGGTAAACGGGAGAGGGCCAGGACATCGGGGTTGAAGGCTCTACCTGGGTGCAAAATTCCCCTCTCCTCTTCCCCTCCTCTTCCCTCTTGGCACATGGACCCTCCTTTGCGTGTAACTCCAGAGCTCTGTTGCATTTTTATCAAAGGAAAAGGATTGTAATTCCTCTCCCACTAGCACTGGGACTTGGGAGATGGTAGGTTAGTCTTCTGTGTTCTGATGCCCGCCAGGTGTGTTTGGCTACAGCCCCTTCGTCCCTTTGCCTTCTGGCCGAGGAGGATGGCATCTCTAATCTGCCTTGACTGCAGAAAGGGCAGTTTGCAGGGTTTCCAAATGGCCAGATTCCCCTTGAACTGTTGCTTGACTGGAAAGCTGAATAAACCTGCAGGATTCTTTATTTAGAAGCCTCTTCATTTCCCCTCCAGCCTTTCCCAGTTCTCTCGTCTCTCTCCCCCAGGCTTCCTATTTATCTTAATTTGGGAATGGTGGTGTCAAATCCATGTGGCGATCCATGTGTGCGTGGGGCTGATTCTGGAGGGGTTCAGTAAGCAGTAAGGGGGGGAAGGGGAAACCTGTTGAATGGCACACCCCTTGTTTTTGCCTTTGGAAAAAAATGCAGTGTGAAGGACAGGGTGCTCCCAACTTAAAAAGCCACAGATATTCTCTGGGAGAAGCATAAGTATTCTCATTTACTTCGTGGAGCTTTTTTAAAAAAAAGAGAAAAAAAAACACTGCTAATTGCATCTTAAAAACAGTTAAAAACGACCTGTCATGAAACTATGAGAATTTAAAATTAATTCCAGCCTCAAGTCTCTGGTTGCGTTATCTTTTAGATGTTCTTTTGAAAGATTTGCCACTGTTGAAGTGCAGCTCATGGATGGCTTCTTGACTTCACGAGAGAGCCCAGATGGCAGGGTGTCCTTGTGAGGTGGTTCTTTCTGGTTTAAATGAGCATTTCTCTCTGGAGAATTAAAGCACTTAAATGTTTGTGGGTGCAGGATTAAGACTGGGGCAAAACAATTATATATATATATATATATTCTACCAAAAAACAACAACAACCCACCCACTCCAAAACCACAAAAGTAGTACTTTGAATGAAATTGTAAAAACAAAACTCAACTATAGTGAGCAGAGCCATCTAATAATACTCAGAAAGAAGGAATTGGCCTGGAATGGAGAAATAGGAAATGAGGGCGTGGGCCGCTGAGGAACGCACAGACTCTTTGATTTAAATCAAAGAGTGTCCAACCATGGCAACTTTAAGACTTTAAGACTCTGGGAGTTGAAGTCCACAAGTCTTAAAGTTGCCAAGGTTGGACACCCCTGATTTAAATCACCGGTCCACTGAATGAGTATGGAGCTTTGCTGAGGGTTTTTGGTCCGGGGTTTCTCCAGACTAAAATGCTAAGACAGAGGAGGTCCAAGATTGCTTCCCAGGTAGACTGATAAAAGAACGGAGCCTTGTAGCTCTCCGTGTGTGGAATTTATTTCCCATCCCTCCCTCCCTCTTGCCAATTAGACTTAGAGTAACTCTTCTGTGCTTTGAAGCTTTGCTTTCAGTCTAGCTCTTCTGAACAAAATTATTTGAGCATTTTAAAAAAAAAAAACCATTTTGGTGCCATCGTTTTGTTTTGGCAAAGAGAAAAAACAAAACAAAAAAACAGGCTTGGATAAGCCAGCTGCCCTTTATAGTCTGTGTGCTTGTAAAGCTTCAACTTTTTACTTTACTGCTTTTTTAAAAAACAAACAAACAAACTCTTATTTGCTGTCCAAAACGTTCACTCTCCTGCCAAAATAATCATAACCTCGATTGCATGATGGCCCTCATTAGAGAAGTGGGTTGTGTCACAAGCAAATTTCTTTAAAGCCCGGCCATGGAATAGCCCCAGAGGCCGCACCTTGATAGGTGACTTTGGGAAGACTATTAACTCTTTGAAAACAGACCTTCTGGGACTTAAAGGTGGAGTAGAGAAATAGTCTGTCGCAGTTCAGCCTTTTTTTTTTTTTTTAAACCTGACATGATTGGATGCCCTTCTGGTGATACTTGTCTCATTCTGTTTTTCCTTGTAAACCAAACTTAACATGAATGTGGGGCAGATTTTACATATAGTGTATCCTGCATTGAAGCTGAGCTTGGCTTGCATATTACTAAAATTCAATTTTAAATATTAAAACACTTTTGAGCTATAGTGAAGTAATGCAAAGCTGATTCTTTCCCCCTTCCCCTCCTTTGTTTGAAATGGAATTCCTGCAAATCTTCAATTGTGACCTTGCTCTGCTGGAGAAATAGATACCTTTTTAAAACCGTAATAAAATAAAATAAAATAAATCGACACCCCCTGCTTGTTTACTTTTCTTCATTGTTTGAGCTAGTCAGAGTGGACGGACCTTTCAGATCTGCAGGTAATATTTGGGGGCAAGGGCTGTGAGCTGCAATGGGTGGGGGGGTCACATCACATGCTGGAACTGGCATTTTATATGTTTTTCCTGGCCTGGTGGGATGATAGCCTTCATTGGGATGGCAGATCTAGTGCCCACTTGATCCTGGGTGAAAATCCAGTTGGAATGGATCTTAATTTTTTTTCAATCTTGGCAGCCTGTCTGGAATAAGGTAGTCCTTGACTTGTGACAGTTCAAAGTTACAATGGCACCAAGAGAAGTCACGCATGACCATTTTTCACAACCATTGAATCATTCCACATGGTCATGTGATCAAAATTCAGATGCTTGGCATGTGACGCATGACGAGTTGTATCCCGGGGTCATGTGATCACTTTTTGCGACCTTCCGACACAGTCAATGGAGAAGCCACAAGTTGTAAAATGGGGCAAAATTCATTTAACAAATGTCTCATTTAGCAACAAAGTTTGGGCTCAATTGTCACAAGTCAAGGACTTGCGTGTACAATGGGAGCCTTGGCCAACCCGAGCATGGCCAATGAAGGAACTGAGGCACACTCACTACTGTTGGAGCAGAGGGAGCTACTGTGGGAGGCAACCTTTGTGTTTCTAGGAACTATGTTGGCATAGCCCAGGAATCCAGCAACCATCCTGGATCAAAGATTTTTTAAAATCGGGTGAACATTACAACTCTGATTTTCACATCCCGGGTAAATTGCATGATAAGCTAGGTGCAATAAGAACTAGAAGCCTAACTTTCTGGAATGGAAGCTCAAAATGTCCACCATCTTCAGTGTATTTGGGCAGTTGGCCTTTTTCAAAGAGCAGTCATGGTTCACACAGCGACCCTAACTTTTGGGCAATGTTAATTTAAGGTTGCCCCTGAAAGTGGGAAGGCAAACCATATCAAATGGGCTTGTTACGACAATTGCTAGGATAGAGCCATGGTGGCGTAGCGGTTAGAATGCAGTATTGTGGGCTAATTCTGCCGGCTGCCAACAGTTTGATTCCCACCGGCGCAAGGCTGACTCAGCCATCTTTCTGAGGTTGGTAAAACGATCCAGATGGTTGGGGGCAATATGCCAACTCTATAAACCGCTTAAGACAGGACTGTAAAGCACTGTGAAGCGGTATATAAGTCTGCTATTGCTATTGTGATAACATCCTTACAAACCTAGAAGCTAAGCAAGGGGGGGAGCTGGTAGGGGCCTGAATGGCATAATGACTGGGGAATTCTGGAGAGTTGCGGTCCGCTTATCTTAAAGTTGCCATGGTTGACAAACACTGCTCCGGAGATATATCTCCTGCATATGGTGTATAATTTAAACACACAAACACAAATACAACAGACATATTCACAAGTTAGTAGTTCAGGTTGGTAGTTAGGCTGTTGGTTTGAGCTCCGAGCTTATCAATTTGGTTGCAAACGTTTCATCACCATTCAAGGAGACCTCGTCCGTGCCCTTTGAGTTGTGCTTGTCTGTCAGGCCTTTAAATCCCTTTTTAATGAGGTGCAAATTAGTTTGAATAAGACGAACACAATTCAAAGCGGGCAGACAATGTCTCGAATGGTTTGTTTCCTCGAACATTTGCAACCAAATTGACAAGCTCGGAGCTCAAACCAACAGCCTAAATATTCACAAGGCTTTAGCGCCAGACATAAAATTGTCCCCGGTAGCTTTTAAGTAGATAGGAGATGGCAACACAAGACATTCATGAGAGAGTTGAATGCAGGTGGAGAAGTTGACACCTTGCAGGGACCTCTTGAAACAATCTGCTCTGGCAAAACTAAAGTTCTTCCTGAGCCCTGGAGAGATTTTACAGGCAGCTGCAAATTAGGTGGATATTAACGCTAAGACAACTTCTGTGTGTGGCTTCTCTTAACATTCCCTCATTTTGGGGAGTTTTTTCTCTAGTGCAAAGAGGAATACAGGTAGTCCTGTAGTTAAAACCACAACGGAGTCCCACCTTTCTGTTGCTAAGTGAGTCATTTGTTAAGCGATTTTGTTAAGTGAATCTGGCTTCTGCCTTGACTTCGTTTCTCAGAAGGTCGCAAAAGGGGACACTGAAACCGTCATAAATACGAATCGGTTGCTGAGCGTCCAAATTTTGATCACGTGACCCATGGGATGCTGCAAAGGTCATGAATGTGAAAAATGGTCACAAGTCAGTAACTGTTTTTCAGTGCTGTAACTTGGGAGCCAAGGACTACCTTGTAGTGTAAAGTTTGATTATAGTGACTTACGGTATTTTAGGGAGATAGCTTTGAAAGATGGCTTACATATATTTAATTAATAAATACCTACTTTCAATAATAGTCTGTAGAGATTCTCAGTCCTCCAGGTCCTGGTTGTCCCAAAGGTGGTTTTTTTTTTTTTTTTCAGGAGACAACTGGACTTTCTGGTTTTATCTTTTGAAGACATTTTGCTTCTCATCCAAGAAGCTTCTTCAGCTCTGACTGGATGGTAGGGAAGGGAAGGATTTATATTCCTTTGCAGACAGCTGGTCATTTGCATCCTTTTTAGTGGGTCTTTGAGGCCACCTGGACAGGCCAAAGTCCACATTTTGGTTTGAAAGGGGGTCAAAGAGACCATCTGTGCCAAAACTGTACAGCCCTCCATCAACAGAGGAGGTGGGATACGACATCAACTATCTCCTGTCTACAACACAGTCCTTTCGGCAGTTCCAAGAAGGCTCCACACCCATTTGCACCACTCAGGTGACTCTGAGGACACAGATAAACCTCCAAGCGGCCTCAACAACCCTCTAAAAGGATGCAAATGACCAGCTGTCTGCAAGGAGTATAAATCCTTCCCCACCACCCAGTCAGACCTGAAGAAGCTTCTTGGATGAGAAGCAAAATGTCTTCAAAAGAAAAACAGCCCAGTTGCCTCCTGAAAAAAACAAAAACCTCTGTGACCTACTTTCAATAATATTTAATGCTATTTCTTATTTTACTGGCTGTTTATTAGTAAAAAATAGACATTATTCTCAGGTACTCAGAGGAAATTTGCTTCCCTATAGCTGTTTTTGATCTTATAGTTACTGAAGATGTTAAGGGAATCACCAGCAAATGAAATGTCTAAATATCTGCAACGAACATCTTGGACAAAACTGGTAGAAGGTATTGTTTGGACTTGGTGCTGGCTTGTCTAAAAACTTAATAGGCAAAGTGTAAAAGCAGAGATAATATCTGTTGTGAACAATGTGAAATCACAGCTGCCGTTTCTTCAACAGCTCCTGGCCTCCATCCACACAGAGTTCTTCCTGAAGAACCCAGGATTTCATCATTATTGGCATAGTACATGTGTGGGTCCATGCCTTTTGCAATTCTTTGCGTTATTCCCACCATATCGCATGGTTGCAGTTGACAGATGGACATGTCTTAGTCCCAAGAGTTTTTAATGTTTCGGTCAGTGGAACAATAATCCCTGAGATCACTATCAATTATGATTTATGCCATAAACTTTCAACTTTCAATTTCAGATCTTGACCCTTTCTGATCTGCTCCAGTTCTGTGTCTTTTATTCTGCTATGCCCAAGTATATGTTCCCACCCATTTTGCATTACGGCCACAGTACGATAATTTTTGCAGATTTTTTTTTTTCCAGATTGTGCATGTGCACCATTGTGCCTACCATCCCTGTCCTTTTGTCCCCATTTATTCGTATCTATTTCCTGTATTCTTACTCATGTTTATACTTATA